AAAGTATAACTGAATTTGGTCCCTATCTGGTCAACGGACAACATCTATCTTAAAACTGAAGCATGCCTGTTTATGAAACGCTACTTTTTGCTAAGTGCACTAACATTTTTAATCTTTGTTGAATAAAGTATAACTGAATTTGATCCCTATCTGGTCAACGGACAACATCTGTCTTAAAACTAAAGCATGCCTGTTTATGAAATGCTACTTTTTGCTAAGTGCACTAACATTTTTAATCTTTGTTGAATAACGTATAACTGAATTTGGTCCCTATCTGGTCAATGGACAACATCTGTCTTAAAACTAAAGCATGCCTGTTTATGAAATGCTACTTTTTGCTAAGTGCACTAACATTTTTAATCTTTGTTGAATAACGTATAACTGAATTTGGTCCCTATCTGGTCAATGGACAACATCTGTCTTAAAACTAAAGCATGCCTGTTTATGAAATGCTACTTTTTGCTAAGTGCACTAACATTTTTAATCTTTAATGTGTTAGTTTATTATTTTATGCAAGAAACATTTAAAGTGAAATTAGTTATGCTATGCCTGCCCATATTTATTAAGTTTATGCATCATTTAAATTCACATTACAGAAGTTTTCCTGGGCAGAAGCAAAGAAAAACCACTGAACGGAATAAGTCAATGATGTGGAGTAGGATGTACTTTCCTGCAGGAACTCTCTTACATCCATTTAAGTGTTAATGTAAGAAATGGCTTGGATTTTGGGACAAAAATATCCCCAAATTAGAATCATCCTAATATATTGTTTTCTAAAGTGTAAAGATGGAGGCTCGGAAGATGCCTCATTGGAAGAAGCACTTGCTGACCAAGCCTGACAACCTGAGTTCAGATCCCCCAAATCCATGGGGAAGTTGGAGGCTTAGTGTAACCATCTGTAATTCCGACACCCCTCCCAGAAAATGGGAGGGGGAAGACATAGAATCTCTGGAAGCTTGCAGGCCAGGTGGCCTCGCTTACACAGCAGCAAAGACACTGTAGCAAACAAGGTGGAACGGAAAGGACCAACAGCCAAAGGCTATCCTCTAACTTTCAAATGTGCACTGTGGCATCTGCACACACTCACATGCAAGCATACCTCATTCATGCACACACAGGAATGAGAATAAAAATAACATGCAAAGATATGCGAGATAATATGCAAAATGAATTTTTTTAAAAAAATCAGTGGAAAATTTGAGAAATATAGCTATTCAAAGGAGAGCCACTTGACACTGATTCCATGAAAATATGATCTCTTTTTCTTTTCTCTGGCCACAGATATGAACATGCCCAAGTTCCTGATCATTGACATGAAAGAATGAGATTTTTTAATGTGCCACAGAGATATCTTCTCTGACTAACTGCCAGCATCTCCACCGTGATCTGATGCCGAGCTTCCTGAACAGTTTAGAGCTGTCCTCACCTCGGAGTCTTAGCTGGAATAACCTTTCATGATACTTCATATTCTCAGTGGCAGTGTAAGTGATAGTGTAAGATTTTGTATGAAGGGGGAAAACAACGTCATTTAAGGAACTCTTGAATCATCAGCAAGTTTAAATGATCACTTTAGGTGATAAAGATGTCGAGTGAAACGTCAACAAAAGTTTGTTGTCTGACATCCCACAGCATAAAAATAGCACACAGAAAAATCCTTCACTTATTATACCAGAAGACAGAGAAATAAGAAAATTCAATCCCAAGCTAATTGTGAGGCCTGGGAATAGCAACTGCTTTTAAGTATCAGCCCGTTTGTCTTGAAAAACAGAACTAATGTTTACTGATTTGCCTGAATGAATTCATTGTGTGGAAGAATCTATTGGAAATACTATCTATGGGAGCCTCACACAGCCTCGCAGGACAGAATGTGCTAGTAGAGAAACCACAGAGATGAAAGGTTTAGAGCCCTAGCTGGTAGTAAATCAGTCTGGGCTAGGAGTCAGTCAGCCTGAGCTCTGGCTTAGTACTCTGCAATTTAGTATCTGCTGATTTCAGTTAAACCAGGCTTTCATTTTTTCTATAAAATGGAGATGAAATGAAATAAGATAAGGAGGATGTGGCCCAGTGCCTGACACATAAGATGCCATTGACATGTTAGCTATTTGTACTTTTATCAAAGCAATCCGTCAAATAACCATAGGTGATTATTTTCTAAATATTGCAAATTAATACTCTCATTTAAATTCTTATTCATAAACTTCCTTGCTGACATAACTTTATGGCTAAAGAATAAGAGAACTTTCAAATTATATACCTATAGTTGTATATCAAAGCACAACAAAGTCTCTATGGATTTACAGATTAGATGTCCTCCTAACTAAACTCTTTTAGAAGTACTTCTCATTACTAACCTAAAGCATGTGGCATTTAACTCCTTGGATCATCCTTAAAAGCCACTTGAAGGGCTGGAGAGATGGCTCAGCAGTTAAGAACACTGGCTGCTCTTGCAGAGGACCTGGGTTCAATTCCCAGCACCCAAATGGTGGCTAACAACCGTCTGTAACACCAGTTCCAGGGGATCTGACACCCTCTTCTTACCTTTATGGGAATTGCATGACACAGGTATACTTACATACATGCAGACAATACACTCATACACATAAAATAATAATTATTATAAATACATTTTTAAGCCACTTGATAAGCATGCATTATTAAATTTCCTGCTAGTCATTGGCTCTGTTGGGGCTGGTGAATTTCTAAAGCCACTAGCACCTGAGGGTGACAAAAATGTAGAGTGTGAAACACCTTTGGAATTCTGAATCCCAATTCTGTAAGAGATTGAAACCCATGGCACACAGAAGTGAGAAAATCACAGGAATCCATTTTCATTGATAGGAAAAGTTATACTTTCTCTGCAAATTACAATTGTATCATTTTGTCAGGACTAACTGAAATAACAATAATTTTCTCCAAGTTTTTAAAAAGTCAAATATTCATGAATGCTTTCAAGTGAAAGTACCTGAGGCCAAGCAGCAGTTTTTCAGTTCAAAGTATGTCTAGACATCTTATTTTTAAGAAAACTGTTTTTCAAAGTAGGGAAACTGAATTGAACGTGAATATGCACGCAGCAAGCAGATACCTGCAAGCAATTGGACCATATGTGCTAGGAGAGTAAACAGAGGCTGAAATAATTTCTGCTTACATTCACTAACATGCTATTAATAGCTGGAACCTAGAAGAGGAGGGGAGGGTATACGAGAGAAAAATTTCAAGCTATGAAACTGTACTAAACACTGTTCTAGGTAGCTGTCTTCGCAAAACAGGGTCACAATCACTGAAGTCAGGCTAGGTGTTCAACAGTCACAGGGAAAAATCCATTACAAAACTCTCTTCTAGA